CCCTCCGGGATGGATCTTTAAGGGGTTTGTTTTGTCTCCTGCACCCCCTCCCCTGCCCAGTGCCCCCTCAGTATACATTTTAAGATCATTTCCTGCTCAGAAAATATGTCTATTAAATGAGATTATATATATGAAATAATATATCATTTGTAGCATAAGAAATAAGTTTTTCCACAAAATAGTTCTATCACAATTCCCTAGTGCCAGTGTTTTAGTTATCTAATACTGCATATAACAAGCAAACCCAAAATGCAGTGACTTAAAACCACACATATTCATGATCTCAGTTTCTGTGGATCTGATATGGGCGTGGCTGAGCTGGTGTCTCTGGCTTAAAGCCTCTCTCATGAGGTGACAGTAAAGCCACCAGGGCTGCATCTCACACAAAAGCTTGACTTGGGGGTTGAGGAATCCTCTTCTTTTTTCTATTGTGGTAAGATAAACGTAAAGTTGATCATTGTAACCATTTTTAAGTGTACACTTCAGTGGCATTAAGTACGTTCCCACCAATGTGCAAACATCACCAGAACATTTTCATTAAACACTAACTCCTGTCCTCCCACCCTGCCCCCAGCTCCTGGCAACTATCATGCTATTCTCTGTCTCTGTGAATTTGTCTATTCTAGTACCTCATACAAGTGGGATCACACAATATCTGTCCTTTGGTGACTGGCTTGTTTCACTTAGCATGATGTTCATGCTACAGCGTGTGTCAGAGTTTCCTTCCTTTTTATGGCTGAATAGTGTTCTATTGTATGTATGTACCACATTCGCTTATCCACTCACCCATCAGTGGACATCTGGGTTGCTTCCACCTTCTGGCTGTTGTAAATAATGCTGGAATGAACATGGGTGCATGACTGTCTGTGTCAGTTCATTACAGGCCACTGGGCTGAGGGCCTCCGTTCCTTGCCACACCACATGGCCTTCCATAACGCTGCTTACACAGCAGCTTGCCCCCCCCCCCCAGCATGAGAGAAAGAGAGAGAGAGAGGGAGAGAGAGAAACCACAGTCCTTTTATAACATAATCTCAGAAGTGACAAGCCATTACTTCTGTCATTGTGTTCATGAGAAGCCCATTATTAAGTCCTGCCCACACTCCAGGGGAGCGGAGTGTACAGCAGGGTGAATCCCAGGAGGTGGGGGTCACTGGGAGACATTTCTGAGACTGTTTATCACAGCCAGAATCTTGACTCTAAGAATCAGGTGGGTCTGCCGTGCAGGGATCTATATAAAAGAATATCTAGAGAACTCCAACTCTGGATTTATGTGGATGACCAAAAAAAAAAGTTTTGAGATTTAACAACCCAAAACCCAGACTGAGAACTATAATCTACTACACATGATCATAACTGTAATTCTATACATTTAACGCCCCATCCAGTGCGATTCTGAACTCACCTGCCAGTTTTTCCTTACTACAGAGCCCACAATTGCCTGCACACCGCACACATCTTTTGTCAGTCCAGCCCAGGCACACTGGCTCTTCCAGTCTATACAAACCAGCCTCAAATGCCAGCTGGCCATTCGGGCCCAGCCCACCTGTTCTGGATCTCATTTCCCGACTTGAACTCTGGGCTCTGCACCCTTGGCCTCCGTATCAACCTTAATCCCTCCAGATGTGGAGGTTGTCCTTTCTCCAGCTCTGTTTGCACCCACCCCAACCCTCTCAATGCTGGCCCCTCCAGTAGATGTGCCTCACCCCAGGCTCAGGCCTGGGGAGGCCATGCCGGCTCCAGCGATGAGACTAACTAGCCTGAGGTTCTGCCCGGCCCTTCCCCACAGTCAGGGACTGTCCCCCTTCTGGTCCAGTCTACTTATCTCTTCATCTGAGCTCTACCGCTCCTCTAGGTCTCAGGCTGAAATACATTTTCTTTGGAGCTTACAGCCACTTCCCAACCATGGTCCCAGCAGATAATGGGACACTTTGGACCAAGACATGGACTGCCATTACTTTCTATGTCACACCACTAATATCTCCCCTCCCACACCCCATTTTTCACCATTCGATACCCAATACTGCATAAACTGCTTCAGTATTTTGAAAATTCTAAAGTGCTTCCTTTTTTAAATTATTATAATGTCCATTTTACAGATGAGAAAATTGAGACTCAGGTTAAGAGAACTGCCTAAGGTCACACAGCTAAAAGAGGACAGAAGAACTCCACCTATTACTATTGAGTTTCCAGGATGTCATGAGTGGCTTGTGGTTTTCTTCAGGCTGAAGGCCTAGTGGGACAACCACAATTTAGAGGAGCCATCTTTCCTTTCTGCTCTGGACTCACCCAGCACAACCCATCTGGCAGTCCCCTGCCCAGGACAGCCCAAGCTCAGCAGGTGAAACTCCTACGAACCTATATCCCTGTGGCACCAACTCACCCCACTCCCCTTGCTTCCCCGATACAACCAGAGGACGACATCTGGCCCAAGCAAAGCTAATGAGATTGCCTGTCTTAGGTATTTGGAACTGGGGCATTAAAAAGCAAAGGGACTCAGATGGCGGAACCGTAAGGCCATATCGAGAGGGCACTATAATCAGTGGCCTGGCAAGTCAGGTAGGTGGGAAGAGAGGATGCATCTTTAGAGGTAGGGTAGCACCCTGGTTAGGAGCCAGGCCGCGGAAGCAAGCCGCCTGGTTTGAATCCTGGCTCCCACTCACTAGTTGCTTACCCATTAGGTGACTCGGTTTTCTTACCTGTAAAATGGGGACTGATTAGTGCTCAGCTCCTCGTTATCATCACGAGGGGAGTTAGCACACACCAAGTGCGGCATGAGCACACAGCCCGCGCTGGGACCCGCCTGCTGGCTCCATTCTGGAGGCGAGGGCCGCCTAGGAGACCCTCGGAGGGAGCAGCTCCGGTGGCTCCAGCTCCCGGCTGGTGTGCCAGGGCGCAGAGCACTTTATTTCAGCAGCCGCAGGGTTTCCGCGGAAAGGTAGGAGCACTTCGACGGCATTTTACCAGTTAGATTGTTACCTCGCACTGCAAGACTTTCAAAAATCGTAAGCCACATTCATTTGGAAATTTTATTCTTTTTATTGCAAATTTCTGGTAAAGGAAAGAACACAGAAGCTGATTCTCATTTAAACTTTGGTGATAAGAGTAGGCTCACAACCTCCCCAGCGCTTGAATCACCCGGGCCCTTGATACACCAGGATGCCTGCGACCCACCTCCCGGAGCCTCTGACTTGCTGGGTCTGGGGCCGCCCAGGCACCAGTGGCCTTGTGAACTCCCCAGGAGGTCGAGATCGCACCCCGAAGCCACGGCGAAGAGCCCCTGCTGAGCTCAGGACCTGGAGTCGGCAGCGTCAGAAGTACCTGAGCAACTCAGCAGACAGCCAAGGTCACCTGCTCTCGGTGCCCCCTCCCCATCGCCAGCTGGGATCCCGTGCCCCTGTCTCCCCAGGAGCCACTGTGCTGATTCTCCCTTTTCTGAGACCCCAGAGGAAGGAGAGCTGGAGGGCCCGTGGCTCTCGGCGCCGTGGCTTGTGCTTCAAACTCGGAGAACTGAACTAAAATGGTTCCTCCACCACAAAGAGAAATCCACTTTCTGATCGCAAAGGAGCATTAACCTTTTTTCAGTGTTAAGTGGAAATAGTCTTCCTATGCTGAGAAGCAAAGGTTCCTGACAAAATAAGGGAATATGTATTGGATGACATATTCCTTATACGACTTCTCAGGTCCAAATTAAAAAAAAAAAAAAAATTTTTTGTCAAGCCATTGAGGGTAAAATATTGTGTACTTTAGCAGCATATTTTGCATGGGTAAACAGTAATAGCCAGTTAGAGATTTCATTTATGATTGATCCTAAAAATAGAAAACACTTTGATTTTCCTGAGTCCTCAGCAAACCAAAAAAAAAAAAAGGTTTTCAAAATTTTGAAAGCATTCCTGGTTCCTTTCTCCTGGGCCCCCTCACAGTTTAGAACGGTGTGTGTCTTATTACCAGTTTTTACATACATGAGTGAGCAGACTGCACTGGAGCCGATGTTCAACGACTAATCCACATGACGACTGAAAATAAAATGCCCATCATCTACAAAGTTGCTTAAAACGAAGGCTTCTTGACAGTGTTATAAATGCAATATCAATTTGATTCTCTGTCCATACAAAAGTAGGAGTTTCTATTTCATTAATAATACGGAATGGTTAATATCTTAACAGTGATAGAATTTAGAATTTAAAAAATACAAAGGATCCCATTTTTACATCATAATTCTGATATACTATCATACCTTCTATTTCGCCCGCAAAACTTTTGTAGGGTACAGTGCATTGACGTGATAAAACCAAGGCACAAGAACACAGTAAGTGTATATAAACCTCAGCACTTTGTGCCAATTTGGGAAACATTTAGAGAGGAGGTCAGAAAGCCTGAAAAATGCTCACACCCTATTATGACTAATGAATAATGAATTGCGTAATAAGCAGACTGTTAACCACCATTTCATTGTTAAATATATGGCTATCACTATACAGGCTGTGGATAATTGAAAAAGAGTTTTCAATATTAAAACCTGGTATAACTAGGTGGTCAATGTAGATATTGTGCCTTGCATTACCTAGGTAATTGTCTTGTTTCCATTTTAATTTACAATCTATATGGCAGTTATCAATTTTTAAACTATTCTCATTATACAGGTGGTGAGTTTTTTTTCCAAATGGTAAGTCCCTTCCCCCTACAAAAAACAGAAGATTTACAAGAAGATAACTCATGTAAGAAATGCACAGACAACAGAAATAAAATCCAAATATGGACTCAAAGGTTGAATTCTAATCTATCAGGACTTTCTCTTAATTTAGGGGAAGGAGCATCACATTTCTGTGACAATTCATTAGTTTCTTAATTTAAAAGGGACATTTTCAAAATAGTAAGGTCTTGGCTAGAGCATCAAGCGTTGAAGTAAAATTAAGTCTTTTCATTCATAAAATGAAGGGATAAAAGCCTTTCCAAATCAGGAAGGGAGGAAAGTCCATCCCATTGAATTTAGAGAAGTGGAATAAAGTGGTAAAAATTATATTTAATATTTTTAAAGATAGAGTGTTTTCAAGACTCAAGGTAAACATTTAGACCCATGAACACACATTTCTTGGCACATGCACGCCATGAATAGAACGATCCCAAATGCGACGACCACCTGGCTACAGAGGCATCCAGCTCCCAGACCCACTGGCAAAACCACCTTTGAGGTCTTTGTCCCAACTCCCCTCACATGGGAGCTTCTGGCTTCTGCATCTGTTGGATTTGCTTCTGTAGCTGGTCCTTGTCTAGTTTCATCTTGGCTTCGAGAACTTGCCTGAGGGATCCTATGCTTTCATAGATGGCTGTAAACCCTTTAAGAAGAGGTAAATTTCACAAGAGTTACTATTAAAAAACAATGCTGGATCAAATTCTACAGCATACAGTCATCGTTGGTTTGGGCAAAAAATTATCAATAGATGCTAAAACGACTGGAGTAAAACTTTGACTGGAAATAGGATAGTCACACAGTTTCATAGTATCTCCCTACAGATTACTTTCTAACTAAGGGGGAAAGGGACTATTACAGTGGAGAAATCTGGCAGTTACACTTTAACCAAGTAACCCAAGCTCACGTCACCAATACTGGGAGAAACCAACATCACGTGCCCCTGATGAGGTACCCTGGAAAGGACACGTCCCTTCTGTGGCATTTCTGTACAAAACCTGCAACCTGAATCTAACTGAGAGGAAGCAAACAGACCCAAACTGTGGGGCATTCCACAAACGACTGGCCTATGTTCTTTAATGATGTCAGTATCGCTGAGGAACTGACCCATATTAAAAGAGACAAAATATAGAAGCATGATAACCGAATATGATGTGTGATTCTGGATTAGAACCTAGACCAGGGAAGGTCCTACTATAAAGCAAACAAGGGTGAAAGCTGACAACTATTGAAAAATATTTTATCACTATTACACTGTACTATAGTTGTTTAAGAGAATGTGTTTATTCTTAGGGTATATAGCTTGAAATAATAAAAGAATAAAAAGGCATTGCAACTTCTGTAATGTACTCCCAAATGACTTAGGAAAAATTATATTCAAACACAGAGAGAGAGAGAGAGAGAGAGAGAGAGAGAGATATTAAGCAAATTTTCAAAATATTAACAATTGGTTGAACTGTTCTTACGGTTTTTCTAAATTTGAAATTATTTCAAAGCAAAAAGACAGAAAATTTAAAAATTCCCTATTGAAAGAGCATTTCATACTATTCTGTATTCCTGTTGGTTTAAAAAAATAAATGTTTGAAAGGTGTTGTCTTCATTAGTAAATTAGAATTTTCGCTCAAAACATTCTTTACATGACAATTTATGACAAACAGGTATAAACATTATATATGAAAAATTCTGTTCCTGTTGAATGGAAAGATATAACATATTACTAAATAAAAGAGTAGGTTATAAATCAACATACATAGTATGAGCTTGCATTTGAAAAACACATATATGTATATACTATATGTATAGAATGATATACATAAAAATAACCTCTGGGTAAAAGAAGGTATGAGTATTTAAAAATATATTTTTTGCCCTAGCTGGTTTTTCTCAGTGATTAGAGCATCGGCCTGTGGACTGAAGGGTCTCAGGTTTGATTCTGGTCAAGGGCATGTACCTCGGTTGCAGGCTTGATCCCCGGCCCGAGTCGGGGCATGTGCAGGAGGCAACCAATCAATGTGACTCTCTCACATCGCTATTTCTCTCTCTCTCTCTCTCTCCTTCCACTCTCTCTGAAATACAATGGAAAAAGTATCAAGTGAGGATTAAAAATATATATATACATACATATATACAGTGCTTTATGATTTTCCATTAAGAAATGTATTGATTTTGTAAGAAAAATAAATATTTTTAATTTTAAAAAGGTTTATATGCATTTCTTCTTAGATACTAAATATTGTGATATATTGATGAAATGATAATAAATTCACCCAGGAAATGATGCAAAGTTAGACATATTTTTAAATACCATATTTTAATAGCCCCAAAGACCAAGGAAGAAAATTCATTTTTATCCTTACAAGTTCCTCCTTTCATAAATTTAATTGTGGGTCCTACTTAAATAAAACAATAAACTTTGTTGGTAACAACAAAATTATTCTTGGGATCGCTAAGTACTTTTATCTCCATGCGGCCAAAATACAAGTCCACAGAAGGAAATGTTGGACCCTGGACCTGGAAGGAGCTGGGAGGTAACTGGGACAGGACCGTTCCCCTCCTGGCCCGATCAGCCAGCCCCCATGTGAACACTTTCCGTGACAAAGGGCCTCCAGCTCGCCAAGCCGCCAGCGTCTTTTTAGGGCCTGTTAACTGAGGATACAGCAAGTCCTCATTTGATGATAGGCTCTGCACTTTAAGCAAAACAACAACTATGAAACCGATTTGACCACAGGCTTACTGGCATAAACAAGAGCTAAGCTCCTGCACATCTCATCAGCGTTTTAACTAAATGCTGCTGAACAAAATGACCTCGTTCGAGGACCAGCTGAATCCCTGCCTCATATCGAGTTACAAATGTGTCTTTGGGTAACTTCCACTTTCTGGTTCTAGTTCCCGATCCTTGACCCAGCCTGAAAATCAAACCGCTCCTTTTACAACAGCGCCTCGGAGGGGAAATCAGCTCTGGCATCTTCCTCTAAGCGGCTGTGGGCGGAGGGAAAGCGCTCACCCCGGGCGGCCTGCAGCCAGCAGGGAAGGCGAGGCGAGGCCTTCGGGGACAGCAAAGACGTGCGCTTAGTCTGAGACATTCTGACCTTGGCTGTGAACAGGAAAGACTCTGTAGGTGGCACTGAAGAAAGTGCACATCAACTGCAAGCTCGGCGATTTTCATTTTGTTTGCCTGTCCCTTACGGTGGCTCTTCGTGTACTTGGAATTAAAGCGATGCTTTAGTTCCATACAGCACAGCTACAGGGCCACCTCGGTTTTTGAGCAGTCTCCGTGGACGAACATTTTGGTTTACAGAAACCCGGAGGGAAATGCTTCGGTTTTCGAACTCGCCTCGGGAGTCGAACATGCCCCGCGGCTTCCGCTGAGGGCAAGATCCTGAGGCCCAGCTGTGGGCTGTGGGTCCCTCGGTTTTGGAGCGTCTCAGACCTCGAGCGGTCTCCTGGAACAGATCACATTCGAAAACCGAGGCACCACTGTGCTTAGAAAACCACCTAAGGACACTTCACTGTTATTGCCATTAGCCAGGTTCATAGGTAGTTGTAGGGACCACTAATGAATTGGTTTCTAGATCAAATAGAAAATAAACGCTGAGAGCTGTTTTGGGGGCTTTGACCTACCAGCATCAACTTCTGCTTTCATCTCCTTCATGTCCTCGCTCATCTGCAGCTCCAGCTTGCTGATTCGCCCCAGCACCCTCTCGCCTTCTTTTATCCTCTGTGCTTCCATGTGCTGCTTTTGACTCTCTTCTATTTTGTCGAGTCGGGCTGACATCTGGCTGAGCTTCTTCTCCATGTCCCTTTCACTGGCTCCCTGAGATCCATGATAAGAATTGCACCCTATTACTCCAAAAAGAAAGCCTGCGTGGCGTCTGCATCAGCTATAACGCCATCTAACAACAGCCTGCAGGGAACAGCATCGCCGACGTTGCTCGTTGGTCTCCCTAAGATCCTCATCTTTTCCTTTTTAACAGACCCCCAATTTACAGCTGTGTATAAGGTCACCCAGAATAAAGACGACATTTTCTACTGTCTCCTGAGTTTGGGGGCACCATGGGATTATTAAGTTGTGGCCAGTGAGATGCAAGTTCAAGTGCATGTGGCAGCTTCCAGGAAAAGTTAAAAGACAGCGGAGGCACAGCCCTGCCCTTTCCTTCTTTCAACTTTTCTGGAATCCAGACATAATGACTGGAGCTCTAGCAACCTTCTTGACCTATGGTCACTCTCTAGGATTGGCAACTAAGCCAGAGGGATCCTGGGTTGCTGAGGACTGACAAGCTACCCCATCAGCCCTGCAATTCCTACACCTAGACACCTTCTATGTGAAAGAGAAGTCAGCTTCTATTTTATTAAGCCCCGTTATCCTGGAGTTTACTGTTAGTTATTAGACCAAGCCACATGTAAAAATAACAGTGATCCAAAGACCCAGAGCCTACAAATGTGTTAGCATGAATCTCAGTAAGTCAATCAGTAGATCTGATAAAAATGTGGAGGACACCTAAAGAAATATTTGATACAGTAAATATTTCCTTCCCTTCCCCTTCCCTTTCTTCTTCCCCTCCCCTCCCCTCCCCTCCCCTTTCCTTTCATTTCCTTTCCTCTCCTCTCCATCACGCTTCATTTTTATGGGAACTTGTGTCTGCAGGTGAGCTTTGGAGGCCCGGACTACAAACTCCAAGCTGTAAGTGGGCTATGGCATGCAAAGCTCTCACAATGCTGTTCAGTGCCGAGTCTGCAATTCAAAAGCTGGGCATTGAGAGAGCAGAGCCAGAGATGCAAACTGCACCAGTCGCTTCTGCTCCATCAAAGTCCAACAGGAGGAAGCAGTGCAAGAAAAGAGAAGGGAGAGGGAAATGCTCAGGCCAAATAACCAAACCAAAAAGATTGCCTCCAAGTACCCGTTTTAGAGTCTACTGATTTTGAATACTATATATGCAAGGCTTTCTCAATATGATTTTTGAGCAGTTCTGCAAATCTTGGTCCTATGGGAGAGGGGGGTAAAAGGAGAAGGCAGTTGGAAAAGAAAACAGGGGCTTGTCTTTATGTGTTGCACCCTGACATCTCACACTAGGGTTATAGTGTGATCGAGGAGCCTGGAGGGAGAAATCTATTCAAGGCTATTTACACCAGGTTGTGAAATTAAAACAAGCTAGGTTGAAGTCTGTGATTGTTTGTCTTACTTAGAAAAGCAGATGGACAATTTGGGTCATTAAGGTCTTCACTTCAATTCACCTTAGCTGTAAGTATTAAAATTTTCGACTTAGCTTTTGTTAACCACAACTAATCAAAGTGCTCCCTCTCTTTATAACAAATACAAAGAATCACTACGAACCGAACCTTGGAAGTGGATTCTAAGGCAAGACACAATGGAACAGCTTTATGTGGTGCTAAACAGATCAATGATAAATTACTAGGTATTACTCAAACATTGCAGGCCCCCACCAAATAACTTCACCAGGTCATTGCTCAACATCAACACCTACACTGTTTTCCTTAACAATCAAGGAGAGCTGATCAATTTTCTGTAGAAGTTCTTTTTCTATCCGTTCTTGTTCCTGCTGCAACCAATTCCGTGCAGATAAAATCTGGTTACTGAGTTCCTCGATCGTACCTTTAAATCTAAAATAAAAGAGTCAGCAAGTCAGAGGCCGAACAACTTTGAAATGACATCAAACCACCTCAGTCTCCGACTATCAAATTTCTCATAAATAGGTCGGCATTAAACTGAGCCCACTCAGAATAACATGCTTACCTTTTCCTACAGTTGCATTCAGCACTATTTTGGGAAGAGGGGAGGAGAAGGGGAAGAAACAGAAAAGCACCTGACGATACTTCCTACCCATGAGGAGGCGTCACAGAGTCACACAAAGTCAAGCAGGCACGAAACTGCAGTCCACAGGGTCCCCCAGGGCTCGAGGCTCAGAGGACACTGTCCTGGATCCCCTTGAGGCTCCCCTACGTCCCTGGGCTCTTCCCCCTTCTCCCTTTTATATCCCAGAACTGGAGTCGGGCTCCCTTTCTCTGTAATGTTCTCCAAACTTCTCTTGCCCCCATTTTCTAATTTAAATCAAAAAGAAAATTGAAAAAAACAAATAACCCAATCCTCCATTCCTCAGGTCCTCTCCCGTTCTAAACACCTTAAAAGAACACTCCACACTTGCTGCCTTCCCTTGATTATATTTTATTAGTTTTATTATGAAATGTAATAAAAGTACAAAAGAATACACGTGACAAAAGAATATAAATGATAATAATAAAATAAATACCCACTGTGGTAAAAACACCTAATTATCTGCAGTATCTGCCTGCCTCCTCTCCCTATTAAGAAACCCTCAAATGTGAACCGGGTACACGGCTGACTAGCCAGCGGCTCCATTTCCCAGCCTTCTCTGCAGTTAGGTGTGGTCCTACGACTAAGTCGGGCATTGGGACCACCGGTAGAAGTGATAAGCACAACTTCCCAGTCATTAAAAACAAAGCTCTTGGGTCTTACCCGGACAGGAAGCCAAGGCAGCAGCTCCACCTGACTGTGGAACACAGCCTGCAGCCTGTCTGACCAGGAAGGCTGACCAAGAACATAGCAGCTTTACTGAATGCATTTATTCTAACAGGTTTTTTTGGTGCAGTCTTTAGAGTTTTCTCTATATTAGGTCATGTCATCTGCAAACAGGGATCACTGTACTTCTTTTTCTCTGATTTTATTGTCTTTTCTTTCTTTTTCTTGCCTAATTTCTCTAGCTAGGACTTCCAGTACCACGATGAATAGCAGGGGTGAAAGTGGGCATCCCCTTGTCTTGTTCCTGATCTTAGAGGAAACACTTTCAGATTTTCATCATTGAGTATGATGTTAGCTGTGGACTTGTGATATATGGCCTTTATTATGTTGAGGTACATTCCTTTTATACCCCATTTATTGAGAGTCCTTATCATGAAAAGGTATTGAAATGCTTATTCTGCATCTATTGAGGTAATCATGATTTTTATCCTAGATTCTGTTAATGTGGCGTATCATGTTGCTTGATTAGTGTATATTGAACCATCCTTGCATCCCAGGAATAAATACCACTTAGTCTTAGTATATGATTCTTTTTTTTAATTTATCCATATTGTTGAAAGTATTACAGACATCCTCCCTTTTTCCCCCATTGATCCCCTCCACCCCGCATCTGCCCTGCTTCCAGGCCTTCACCACACTATTGTCTGTGTCCATGAGTTATGCATATAAGCATATAAGTTCTTTGATTAATCTCTCCCCACCAACACCCCCCTCCCCACCTTCCCTCTGAGATTCATCAGTCTGTTCCATGTTTCTATGTCTCTGGATCTATTCTGTTCCTCAGTCTATTTTGTTTATTACATTCCACAAACAAGTGAGATCATGTAAAACTGAATCAGGAAGAATCATAAAACCTGAATAGGCCAATAACAACTGATGAAATCGAAGCAATAATAAAACAACTCCCAGCAGACAAAAGCCCTGGTCTGGACGGCTTCACAGGGAGGTTTCTAATTCTTTAAGTTGTAGGGTTAGATAGTTTACAAAAAATTTTTCTTGCTTTTGGAGGTAGGCCTGCAGTGCTATGAACTTCCCACTTAGGACTGCTTTCGCTGTGTCCCATAGATTTTGGGTTGTTGTGTGTTCATTTTCATTTGTTTCCAGGAAGTTTTTTATTTCTTTCTTGATCTTATTGGTAACCCACTCATTGTTTAATAACATGCTATTTAGCCTCCATGTGTTTAAATGCTTTTGAGTGTTTTTACTGTCGTTGATTTCTAATGTCATGCCATTGTGATTTGAGATGCTTGATATGATTTCAATCTTCTTGAACTTGTAGAGACTTGTTTTGTGTCCTAACATGTGGTCTACCTTTGCGCAAGACCCATGTGCACTTGAGAGGAATATATATTCTGCAGCTTTGGGGTGAAATATTCTGTAAATATCAATTAAATCCAACAGATCTAGTGTGCCATCTAGAGTCACTGTTTCTGCATTGACTTTTAGTCTGCAAGATCTATCCAGTGAAGTCAGTGAGGTGTTCAAGTCCATGACTATGACTGTATTGCTGTTGATCTCTCCCTTAAAGTCCTTAAGGTTATTATTGATAGGTCCTTATTTATTACCATTTTAATTCTTTATGCCTATGTTTCTCTCTCTATTTCTTATTTTTACAGCAGTCCCTTTAACATTTCTTACAATGCTTCTATTTCTACTTCTAATTATAGCAGTCCCTTTAACATTTCCTGCAATGCTGGCTTGGTGGTGATAAACTCCTTTAGTCCTTTCTTGTCTGGGAAACTCTTTATTTCACCATCTATTTTGAATGATAGACTTGCTGGATAAAGTCACCTTGGTTTCAGATCCTTGTTCTGCATTACCTTGAGTACTTCATGCCATTCCCTCCTGACCTGTACAGTTTCTGATGAGAAGTGAGATGACAACCTTATGGGTGCTCCTTTGTAGGTAACAGATTGCTTTTCTCTTGCTGCCTTTAAGATTTTCTCTTTGTCTTGAATTTTTGGCATTTTAATTATGATGTGTCTGAGTGTGGGCCTTTTTGGATTCTTCTTCCTTGGGACTCTGTGTGCCTCCTGAACTTGTGTGACTTATTCCTTGACCAGGTTAGAGAAGTTTTCTGCCATTATTTCTTCAGATTCTCTAAACCTTGCTTACTTTCAACCTCCTCTGGCTCTCCTATGATGCGAATATTGTTACACTTCATGTTGTATCACAGCTCCCTTAGACTGTCCTCCTGTTTTTTAATTGTTTTTCTTTTTGGATCTCTGACTGAGTGATTTTTCCTACCGTCTTCTAATTTGCTGATCTGGTCTTCAGCTTCCTCTAATCTGCTATTTATTCCTTCCAATGTATTCTTTATTTCTGCTATGTCATCCTTCATTTCTGACTGGTCATTTTTCATAGTTTCCATAACTTTTTTCATGCTGTTGAGCATCCTTACAATACAATCAGTATTCTGAACTCTGTATCTGTTAGATTGCTTATCTCTATTTCATTTGGCTCTTTTTCTGGAGACTTCTCTTTTTCTTTCATTTGGGGCTTGTTTTTTTGTCTCCCCATTTTGGCTGCCTGTTTGGGTTTGTTTCTATGTATTAGGTAGATCTGCTAGGACTCTCAGTCTTTTTGGAAGGTCTCTGATGCAGGCCAATGTCAGATGCTGTTTGTGACTGGCCTGTCCTGGAGCTATCAACAACCCACGGTTTGAGGTCCCCTGTGTTGGTGCCGGGTGCATTTGGACAGGACCAAGATGCACACCAAAGTCTGCTTTTCCAAGGTCCGGGTCCTGAAGTAGATCAGGCAAAGACTCAAAGCACTCTGAGGTCTGCCTCTGGCTGCAGGCTGATTAATCTGATTCTCTTAATGAGCCTTAGGCTGTAGAAACGCCACAGGGTAGGGCCAGAGGTTTTCTAGCAGGTTGGGGCAAGTGCTTCCCACTCAGGCAAAAGCTGCTTGAAAGGTAAATGTCTGCCTATGAAAGATGTCCTCTGCAGTATGAGGAATGACTCGGCACAGGAATCCAGAGGGTGCCCTCTGAGCTCTATCTCCAGAGCCCACAACCCTAGGTTCTCCTCACACAGCTGCAGTCCACTCTGCCCTCCCTCTGCTGTAGCCCAAGGTGAGTGGCTGCACACGAAACTTTGTGCTTTGGCTCTTTAAGAGGGTACCTGCAGATCCAGCCATCTCTCCCTGGCAGACAGAAACCCTGCTGCTTTTCACAGCCAGATGTTATGTGGGCACCTTTCTCAGTGCTGGTGCTTTGGCTGAGAAGCCCAGCCTGGGGTTTAGGCCCCAGAGTCCTCAGTGGGAGCCTTCCACAGCTGAGATATCCCTCCGGACCTTCAGCTGCTGCCTGTGGGAGCCCAGCCAGCCCTCTTGGGCCTCCCCACTTCCTACCAGTCTCTATGTGGTCTCCACTTTTCGTCCTTGGTTATGAGGCTGCTCTCCAGCCACTCTTCAGTTGCAGTTGATTATTCAGGATGGTTTTTCTATATTTTAGTTGTAATTCCAGTTTGGTCCCAGGAGAGTGTCAGTGTAGCTTTCACTCAGTCTGCCACCATCTTTAATCTCCTAGTATATGATTCTTTTAATATACTGTTGAATTTGGTTTGCTAGTGTTTTGTTGAGAATTTCTGCATGTATGTTCATCAGGGCTATTTTCTTATAGTGTCTATATGTAGCTTTGGCATCAGGGTAACGCTAGCCTCATAAAATGAGTTTGGAAGTGTTCCCTCCTCTTCAATTTTTTGGATGAGTTTGAGAATGATTGCATTAATCATTCTTTAAATATTTGGTAGAATTCACCCATGAAGCCATTTGGTACTAGGCTTTTACTTATCAGGAGGTTTTTGATTACTGATTCAATCTTCTTACTCATTACTGGTCTGTTCAGATTTTCTATTTTTTCATAATTCAGCCTTGGTAGGTTGTGTGTTTCTAGAAATTCACTGATTTTTTTCTAGATTATCCAATTTGCTGGCATATGATTGTTCATAGTAGAATCTTATGATCCTTTGCATTTCTGTGGTATTAGCTGTAATGCCTCCTCTTCCTTTTTAAATTTTATTTAGTTGAGCCCTCTTTCTTTTTGCTTGTGTGGCCTCGGTAAGGTTTGTCAATTTTTGGTTTATCTTTCAAACAAACCAACAATTAGCTTTGCTTACTTTTCCTGTTGTTTTTCTATTGTTGTCTATTCTGTACTTCATTTATTTCTAGTTAAGCTTCATTATTTCTTTCCTTCTTCTATCTTTGAGATTAGTTGCTTTTTCTTTTTCTAATTCCTTGAGGCATAAAGTTTGGTTGTTTATTCGAGATCTTCCTTTTTTCATAATGTAGACATTTATCATTGTAAACTTTCCTCACAGAACTGCTTTTGCTGCATCCAGTAAGTTTTGGTATGTTGTGTTTCCATTTTCATTTATTTCAAGATTTTAAAATTTCCCTCTTGATCTTTTTTGATGTGTGATTATTCAGGAATGGGTTGTTTAATTTCCCGTTTCCCTCCTGTTATTGATTTCTAATTTTATACTATTACGGTAAAAAAAAAAAAAAAAAAAGATACTTGGTTTTATTTCAATCTTCTTTAATTTGTTAAAACTTGTTTTGTGGCCTAACATATGCTCTACCCTACAGAATGTTGTGTGCACTTAAGAAGAACGTGTAGTCTGCTGCTGTGGGATGGAATGTTCTGTATATGTCCGTGAGGTGTCTAGTTGAGCAGAACTGCTCTCCATGCTCTGAGGTAGTGGGGGCCACTGGCTGGGCTCCCTGTCCAGGTGGGGCTACTGGATGGGCTTCAGAGTGCTTTGGAGCCACTAACTGGGCTCTGCAATTACCTCTGGTTGGGTAGGGTTGCAGGCTGTGCTCCCTGGCAGAGTAGTGCTGCTGGTTGGATTCCATGATTGGGCAGGGCTGCAGGCTGGGCTCTACAACTGTACCTGAACAGGTGGGGCTCCAAGTTGTACTGCCTGGCCAGATGTCGCTACTGGCTGGACTCCAAGTTCAGGCAGGGCTACAGGCTGGGATTCATGATCAGACGGGGCCTCAGGCTATGCTCCACAATTTAACATGCCTACTTATTTTATCCAATAATTCCTATATATACAGTATGCAGAAGACTGATTCTGCTTTTTGTTGTTTCTTCTGACTCGATCACTTATGTGGCTTTTCCCCTTGTGCTGTTTCACAATATTTGACTGTAAATTCCTATTCCTCAGGACTTCCTTTGTCTGTGGGAAGACTTGAAGACTGAGGATTTGCTTTTGCTTCTGGCAGGAATCTCAGGCCACTACAGAATCAGGATCACTCTAAGATAGTTACCCTCTGGGGTTTTCTTCAAGCCCCTTGGTAATGTGAACTATAGTTCTAAATCTATACAAAGGTTGTGTGTGATCCTGATATTCAGGAACTAGCTTTTACTCCTCTACCCAGAGCCAAAATTAGCCAGGTAAGTTTCCTTACAGTCTGTGAGGAGTGGAATTTTTCCTAGTTCATCCAACAGGGGTTTCACCTTTTGGGTCGCCAATACATCTTCTACCTCACAGAGGCCCCAGGCTTTGTCTCCTTTTCTCTGTGAACAGCGCTTGTGTGTAGACTTCTAGACTTTAAATTGTAGGAAGAAAAATAAAGATGTTCATGTCTGCTGACTAGTAATATCTCCTAAGGAAATAATTCACAGAAGACAAAAAATACTGAGATGTTTATTTTCGTCCTGTGTGATCAAAGAAAGATTGGAGAGATCTGTCTGTACTTGGCCAGCTTACAGGATCTATGAGAAATGGTGACATAGCTCAGTAATTATATAAATATAGCTAATTAGAGGAGAGGAAATGTGTTTTTCACAAATAAATTCCTGTTAAATTGACAACAACCCTGAAATAGCATTAAACATGGAGACCATGAGATACAAGGACCTGGAGAGATATTAATTTAAACTTTCCACAGCCTTTAACAAAGCTCCATACTGCAGTCTTTAAAAAATGTATTGTGAAATATACATATATGTATGTATACACACACACACACAGACACGAATACACGCGCACGAGTGCACACACATATACACATATCGTCAATCCTGGCTCTGCTTTGGCAGGAAAACGCCGAGCTCATGAAGCTTCATGATGGGGAAAAGTGTGTGGTTTTGTGATTTAGCATAAGAGCAGCAGATGAGTTTCACTGCAGCAAGTACAGTCTAATGTCATTATGACACAATGTGGAAGTAGAGCAAATTATAGGGCACCGATGAGATAGCTCAGAATCACCTTGGTGCAGACCTCTCCCACCTAGACTAAAACAGCACTCCCAACTGATGTCTCCATCTCTGCTTTGGCCCCTTGTGACCCATTTCCAACTGCAATCAAGGCCACTGAATAAAATTCTGTATCTTCATCTATACATATGAGATTATATCACTTTATCTGCTTAAAATCTTCCAATGGCTCCTTACTGCTCTAGTGATGGAAACAGAAAGTCTTGGCTGTGGTCTACAAGGCCCTGCAAGCTGGCCCGCCTCCTCTCCAGCCTCACATCTCTGTTCCAGCCACCTTGGCTATATTGCAGTTTCAGTATGCCCCATTTTCCCCAAGATAGGCTATTCCATCCCGCATGTTCTTACCTCCCTCTTTACCCAGTGAATTCCACTCAGTCTTCAACTCTTACTTCAAACACCGCCTCCTCAGGACGGCCCCACAGCCAGGCCTCTGTCATTCACTCTCACAGCACCACTGGATTAGTTTCCCGTGGCTGCTGTGACAAGTGACCACAAACTTGGTGGCTAAAAACAATGCATTTATCTTCTTATAGTTCTGAAGGCCAGAGGTCTGGAATAAAGTCTAGGTGTGCGCAGAGGTGGTGCCGTCTGGGGGCTCTGTGAGGAGAATCATTTTCTTGCCCTTTTCAGCATGGGGCCCCTTCCTCCACCGTCGAAGTGCATCACTCCAATCTCAGCTTCCATTCGCACGGTCTTCTCTCTGACTGACCTTCCTGCCTCCCTCTCATACAGACTCTAAGGGTGGCATCGGGTTTGCCCAAATAATCCAGGGTAATTTATCCACTTCAAATCTTAATCACGTGTGCAAAGTCCCTTTTTGCCATGCAAGGTACCATATTCACAGGGGTTACGTGGTGATATCTGAGGGACCATTACTCAGCCTGCCATACCATGTCCCTTTCCTTCAAAGCACTTACCACCACTAGTAATAATACAGCAAGTGCTTATTGTAGTCACTATTTAACTCATGCTCATCAACCCCCTAGACTGTAAACTACACAAGGGTAAGAACAGTGTTCCTCTTCATTACTGATCCTCAGCGCCTCGGCCAGAGCTCAACTATTTATTGAATGAGTGGATAGATGGATTATTATCCAACCACAAAAAACAAAAATTAGGAAGGTGAAGTGACAGCATGCTGCATGGGAACTTTTCCTTTGAACTTCCAGTACTGTCTTCACTTTGTTTAAGCAATAAACAAAAACCAAGAGGAAAAAAATGTAGTATTAAATAAGTTCATAAAGAACTTATACCAAAAAGCAAGTTTATAAGTTGATTACTTACTTAGTGTCCAAAAGCTGAAGCTGGTGGTTACTATCTCTGTGGGACATCTTCAGTTTGGTGCTCTGCTCTGATATTGACAAGTCCACTCTGTTCAAAAGCTGAGAAATCTGGAAAAGAGACTTTGCTTGGAATATCACATCCAACCTTTCCAGAGGTCATTTCAGAAAACATTAAGTAAGCTGTATTCTAGACAAACGGCATGAAGACTCAGCCTAATTTAATATATTCAGTTAGGGCTTCACCTCATCTTTCCACTTCCATTTTCTTTCATAGCACCCATCAAAAATCAAGACCAGCCCTAGCCGGTTTGGCTCAGAGTGTTGACTGAAGGGTCCCGGGTTTGATTCCAGCCAAGGGCATGTACCTCGGTTGCGGGCTCAATCCCAGGGGGTGGTTGGGCGCATGTGGGAGGCAACCAATCAACGTGTCTCTCTCACGTCGATGTGTTTCTCCCCCCCCACACACTCTCTCTGAAAAGCAACGGAAAAAATATTCTCAGTGAGGATTAAAAAAATAAAATCAAGACCAGCAGCACTTCCAAAATGTTCACGAGGCACTGAGCACTGAACTTCACAGTTCTCTGACGAGCAAGCCCAGTTTCTGCCCAGGAACACTACTTCCACCTGCTGGCACAAGATATAGTCACTTTTATCGCTGCTGGTCACAGAGAATGAAATTCTCATCACTTACAAAATCCATTACCGTCCCAGATTTACCTCCATTATGGTTTAGTCACCAGAAAATATAATTGTAAATTACATCCCTCCTTCTCCTTTCTCCCACTACCTACCCATATCCCTTGTCTTTTTACTAACATTTAACATAAAACTAGTACTATATGAAATGTCTTATTTTCTGCACTTAGGATGTTCAATGTTCCTTACTTAAAGGTTCATGGAATAGGGGACATCGACAATAGTGTCAACAATTAAAACACACACACACACAAATGATTCACAGAACAAGTATTCATCAGATCCAGAACAAAGAAAAAGTATCTCTCTTTGTATGGATTTCTATATGTATTATACTTGGCTTAGCAATCAGAAAGCTTAATATTTCCTCGGCACTTATTTTTTGATATAATAATCCTATCCTCGCTCATTCTTTGATAAAAATTGGTGGACTTGTCATCTTACTCTCCTTTTCATGGTTATAATATCTGTTTTCCACAAAAGCAGATCTAGATACTTACTGGATGCCGTTAGGACACAAGTATTTTTAATCCAGCAAGTTGACCAGATGCCCCGTTTTCCTGGCCTAGTCCCTTTTTAAAGGAAGGTGAGCAAGTAGAGCGCATACTGTGGGGAGAGTCCTCGAAAGACAGGCCCCGTTATGGCAAAGGGAAAGTTTTAAGAGGCCAAGAAACAAACTGAAATGCCAAGAATCTTGCCTTGTGAAATTAATCTGTGACTTTCAAGGTGGAATACTCTAAAAATTCACTAGCCGGCCTATCCTCCAGCTGTGTCCTAATTTCCTCCCACACGCAGACGACGGGATGCGGTGGCACCTGCGGTGAGTCCCCGAGACGCAGCCACCTGTTCCCGCACCCGAGGCCGGGGCGACTGGCGTGTACAGGAACGCTCATCGCTCACCCGTGCGAGAGGTAGTTTTGGAGTTATGATTTAGAATTTCTTCAACGTATTGTTTTAAGAATGAGGGGGAAAGAATCTTTGAAATTAGGACTGTACCGAAAAATCTCGGTGGTTTGGTTGCCACACTCCTGAGGCGCCCGCCCCTCCAGCGACGTGGGAGAAAGGCAGACGCGAAGGAAAGAGCCGGGGCCCACGGCAGGTGCCCTAGCGAGTCCCTCCTGCGACACAGTCGCGCTACTCGAGCTAAGAACAACGACCGCTTTCAAACGGCTGCCTGAAACAGGCCGTACCTGCCCCTCTGCGTCCTTGATTTTCGTTTCCAGGATAAGTTTGGCAGCTTGCTGTTCTTTGTTCAGGTGCTGAAGCCCCTCGTAGGTCGATTTGTGCTCTGCGGAGAGTCTGGCTATGCTGGCGTCACATCTGAGCAGGCAAACAGCAAAGCTAATTCTCATTAAAGTTTAGAAACAAGTGCTAAGGCTTCCTCACACACCATAAAATGCATGACCCCGCTCGAAGAGACTGCGTCGTGAGTCATTCTTTTTAACAGAGGTTCAGATGGATTCAGAGAGCTGCCCTCATTATGGTTTTTAAGTTAAACCACAGGGATGTGCTTAATAAGACTACACATGTAACCATCAAAGGAGCCAAAGGCTTTATAATGCTCACGACTACAAAATCGTATGAGCAGTGAGAGCCCAACTACAAAATGCTTAGAGAGGATGAGGATGTGGTCTGTCGCTCTCTAGAACCGCCTCTGCCCTTTCAAGTGTGGGGCCTCTTTGAATTTTGGAGGCAATTTCTACCACATTTGAAAAGCTCCTCTTAATCTTTTACCAAATCACCCAGAAGGCTGTATGCTTTGAGGGTGGCCCAGAGCATAGGAAGGCCCTGCAGCTAGTCCAAGTTGTCAGGAAAGCGGCTCTGCCCCTTGGGCCTTACAACCTGGCAGTTCCAGTGGTGCTCAAAGCATGAGTGACAGATAATCTGTGTATTAGCCTCTGTCTAGACCTAACAGGAGAGTCACAGAATGGACCTCGAGGGGTTTCGAGCAAAGTCATCCCCTGCCCCAACACAATCAGTCCTGCCTTGAGAAGTAGCTGCTGGCTTGTTACTGGGCACTGGTGGAGACTGCATGCCAAATCCTGGGACATTAAGTAACCGTGCCATCTGGGCAGTCCATCGTGAACACCATGCCATACAGGTGGGCACTGAGCGGCACTCCATCTTCAAGGCGACATCAAGCTCGAACAAGTCGTAAAGGCATGAGCAAACTGCAGGAGGCCAGACCCCCATGGCATCTAGTCCTGCTACCAACTTTCCTTCAACTCACACCTGTGGCCTCTTGAGGAGTTNCCATGGCATCTAGTCCTGCTACCAACTTTCCTTCAACTCACACCTGTGGCCTCTTGAGGAGTTTTTTGGTGACCAAGTGGACTGAGGGGGAAAAAGTCAGGCCTGACTTACAGACGGTCACACCCAATAGGCTGGCATCTTCTAGAAGACCACTGACACTTAAAGCCCACTCAGGAGAGGTCCTGAGGGTATTACAGAAGGGAAACCCTCATAGTTGGCAGAACTTTAAATAGTGTAACTGGGAGTTCATTTTGCCTAGAATAGGAGGTGGCCAGACATTCATGGGGATTAACTAATAGCAAGAGATTTAGGAAGAACATATTGGCAGATGTGACAAGGGGAAGCAATTATATGAGTGGGTCACTCAGAACTGACACAGCGTTCTTGGTCCTTGTGAATGCTTTCTGTATATCATCGGGGCAGAAGCCCCAAAACCGCACCTCCCAGACTCCCTTACTGGCACGGTTATGATTTAGATCCCACCAGTGGGAGGCACTTATGTAAGATTTGAAGTAGAAGAGAAGGGGAGGCGCTTATTCATCTCTGGCAGCAGGGGGCAGACAGACACACTGGGAAACTGCTGGTGAGGTTTATAGCCTGAAGGTCATTTACTTCCATGCTGCAGGCGGCTAAGGTGACCAATGGCCCCTTTCTGTGATCCTCACACTTCCTGTTTTCCTGAAAGCCATTAAGTTCCCTGCAGTCTGCTTCTCCAAATCTTCCAATGATCTTGCAAGCTGTGATTTTCTGTATTAAATCTCTTCCTGCTAAAACACATAGCATGTTTTCTGTTTTCTTGAGTGAACCTTGATGCATATAGTCATTAAAATATAACAAGAAAGCATGCAAAATATTAACCAACTATCTTGAGTCATGTGTGATTTTTCTTTTTTCATTCTTTTCTAAATTGTACAACTTTTCTGCAATAAATACGTATAACTTTTATAGTCAGAAAAAAAAATTACACAAAGGAAATATTTTGATCAGCAGCCATGTACAAAGAATATGTTATAATTTTATGGAATAAGCACTATCCCACCATCTTTGCCTGGGCCCTCATGAAGCAGAAATGAGGCTGGAGTACAAGGAAGCCAGAGCTAGACACATGTGGGTTTATGACACTGTCATGAAAGTCAAGTCAGGCTCAAGGCAACATACAGTAGAAGTGAAGAGGCTGTGGTTGGAACCCCAAGCCAAAATTCGTTCATCCACTCAGTAAGTATTTGTAGAATGTCTACTATACAAAATACAGTATAGCTGAAACTTTCTCTCTCCAGTACATACACTATACTATCTAGAAATTTAAAGGAAACTTTTATGCCACCACTATGAAAATGTTATTCACCTAATGTGTATATTTTCCTATTATTGATGGAGATTACACTGGACACCTATTCATTATCCCTCTGGTTCAGACAAACAAGCTCAGAAGATTATTTGAGAAATTGCAGAACAAGTCATTATAAATACACACAAAGAACAAGCCGATGGCCAGTCACACTTCCAGTAAATCAGCAGCCTACAATCATCCTAAAAGCCTTGGGGATGTATTCTTTAAGATGCATATCTGCACTGAGGCCTGAACAAGGTTTATGAACTTTTCCCTAAATGACTTAGATATTGAAGAGTCTCATTCTCTAAATCACATATTTGCAATTAACAATTAAAAACAGCATACTAATTAACAAAAGTTAAATTATACCCCTCCAGAAGCTAGAGAAAATAACATATTATAGGTCTATAGTTTATAAGTCATAAATAAAGATTAGAGAGCATGCTAGTGCTTGATAGGCTTTCTAATAAGCTATAATATTTAACCAATTTACTAATTACCTTGTATTAAAATGTTGCAAATAGAAACTACTACCTGGTCTGTTAGTTAAGCCTGGTGGACAACACGCATGCCCTTATATTGGCTCCCTCCTGAAAATCTATCAAGATGACACCAGACGAATACTAATTTTTTTTTGAAGTATAAACCCAAAGGACAAAAAGGAATGGGAGAAAGTGGACAGCAGACAGATTGTAGAGAAGACAGAGCAGAGCATATGTTTTGCTATAGCTGGTGTGAGAGGCTTGCTGGGGCTCTATATCTAAAAACCAATAGTGGCGAGAAGAAATTTTAGTTCCCACAGGGCAAGAAAGGCAAGAACTGGCTCCACTTACGTCCAGGGAAACTGAAACCAGAGACCTCAGTGGGGTTCTACCAGCTATGGAAAGCATAAAACAAAACAAAAAAATGTGATCAAATAAATTTAAAATAAATATATTTAAGATACTAAGAAATAACAAAGATAGATTAACATCTATCAAGAGAATACTAAGTTAGTAAACAAAAACAGGCAGAGATGAAAGAAGAACAAGTGTATAGAAAATTAGAAATCCTGGGAATAAACTACAGGGTTGTCTTAATAGACCAGACAAACTCTAGACTGGACATGATAGGAGATACTATCAGTGAATTAGAAGACAGTGGCAAGGAGCTCACTCAAAATGCAGCAAAACAGACGAGAGGTTCAAAACATGAAAAATAGTTATGAAACAAGGAGGACTAACATAAGTCAAGGAGGGGTAGAGAAATTACAAAAGAAGGAAAGGGCCCTGGCCGGTGTGGCTCAGCTGGTTGAACACCGTCCCACGCACCGAGAGGCCAGCAGTTCGATTCCCGGTCAGGGCACGTGCCCCAGTGGCAGGCTCCGGACCCAGTCGGGGGCGTGCAGGAGGCAGCCGATCGATGTTTCTCTCCCCCGTCCCTCCTCTCTCTCTAAAATCAACAACATATTTAATTTTTAAAAAAGGAAGAAAATGGAAAGAATGACAGACACGATATTTGAGGTGTGAGTGCTGGCAATTTCATAAAACTGAAGAAAGACATGAGTTTTAAAGTATTTAAGGAATATGAACTGGGATAAGTAAAAATAAATAGAGCATGGTGAGATTCAGATAACCTATGATACAGATAAATCTTAAATGCTACCAGAGACTAAAGACTGGTAATCGATCAAAGACTGAGTGTAAGATAGCACACAACAGATACCAGAAGACAATAGCTATCGTGAGATGTTGGAGAAAGATCTCTTTTAAGAATTTAGGAAAAATAGCCTATCCTCCAAGAATAAGTGCAAAATAAAGATAAAGACAGTTTCACACATACAAAGATTAAGAAATGCATCGCCCACAGTCCATATGGAAGGAGTCATTAAAAAATGTACTTCAGTAAAATTAAAATCACACTGTTAGGTAATTGTTTTGCTGTAAATCATTATATTACTACAACGATAAATTATTATTTTACAACAATGTATGAGAAAAAGTCGAAGAGGACAGACACCAAATTGTCAACATTAGTTACCTCTAAAGAGTAAAACAGCTGGAGCTGGTGAGCCTTCGTGTTTCATTTTATATATTTCATCGCATGCCTGACTGTTCATAACCAGCACATATCACGTGCGTATTTCTAAATAAAGGGGTAGGGTGGGCAGGGAAAGCAGAGAGAGGCTGTGGGATACCAAAGCTCTCATCAGAAAACATACACAGTGACATCAACTTGTGGTTTTTTATGTCAAAAATAATGTTATTCTTACTCTCAAATATTTCAGAAATAAATTTTATATATGAAAGAATAAGTAAATGGGGCAAAATGTTAACAAATGGTAAGTCTTGCATATTTTTAATAAGTTTGAAATTATATACATAAATATTTACATACATATAAAATAATAATATATATGTAGAAGGAGAAAGTAATATTGCTATTTCAGCTAGTATTGAATTAAAGACATCATTCTTGTCTTTTCAAAATAACGCTCATAAAAGACAGCCTCAGCACGCTAACGTAGCCACGTGCATGTTCAATAACTTTAAACAAGAATTTGCAATGAATCTGATCAGCTGTCCTATTTCATCCTTGATGTTTTATAGTACAGATTCCCAATGTTCCCTTTTCCAGTCTTCTGGCAGCTATTTCCCAGGTACACTTCCTAGCTGTGGCCGTCAGGTGGCAGAACGGCTCTATCGCTTGGCCAACGGGGTCCCAAGGGTCTAGCAACAGGTATGACTGGGGCAAATGCTTCAGCAGAACTGCTCCTGTAGCTTGTGGCATGGTGGCATTGCACACCAGAAGCAATGACATTTAAAACATTTTCTCATCTTCCATATTATAATAATTAATATTATGTATGTGTGTGCGTATATACAGTGTCCTAAAAAATGTATACACACTTTAACAGCTGAATGTATGCAGTTAAATGTATACACACTTTAACAGCTGTAGATTCTATTACATTTTGAAAATGAAATGTATTCCACCTTTATCATTAATCAAAGTGTGAATACATTTTCGGGGGATACCATATGTATACACACACACACATAATTATTGTATATATACATTATTAAGCCCATAAGTGCTGGTACTAATTTAATTGAATCAGATCATAGAGCAATTTATGTTCTAGGGCACTGTCAAAAACAGCACAGCAATATGCCAGCAATTAGTGGAGCCTAAGATTTGGGTGTGGTACCTACAGAGGCAGACAGCTTAATAAAAGATCAGGGGAAGAAACAAAGAGCCTTGCTGAAACCACTATCATCGCAAGGTGACTTTGTACCTTCTGAGAAGTGACATGTGAGGCTTCATATTGCGGGGGAAATTGGCATCACTAAAATAGTCTGGCCAAGTCATTAAACAAACAACAACAAAAACAAACCTGACTGTGTGTGTCCGTATACCAGATTGCAACAATATATTACCTAAAATGTCCAGTTACTAACAAAAATTCTAAGACATGCAAAGAAACAGGAAAATGTGAACTATACACAGGGGGAAAGAGCAGACAGAAGAAGCTGCCTGTAAGAGAGCAGATGTCTTATTTAAAAGACAAAAACTTGCCCAGCCAGTGTGGCTCAGCGGTTGAGCATCCACCTATGAACCGGGAGGTCAGGGTTCGATTCCCGGTCAGGCCACATGCCTGGGGTGTAGGCTCCATCCCCAGTAGGGGGCATACAAGAGGCAGCTGATCACTGACTCTCATCATTGATGTTTCTCTCTCTCCCTCTCTCTGAAACCAATAAAAACATATTTTAAAAATTCATGATGATGATGATGATGATAGATGATGATAGATAGATAGATGATAGATAGATAGATGATAGATAGATAGATAGATAGATAGATAGATAGATAGATAGATAGATGAGAGAGAGAGAGAGAGAGAGAGAGAGAGAGAGAGAGAGAGAGAGAGAGAGAAAGACAAACTTGCCCTTGCCCGTGTGGCTCGTCTTGGTTGGGCATCTTCCGGTGCACTGACAGGCTGCCAGTTGCTGGTTTGATTCCCAGTCAGAGCACATGCCCAGGTTTTGGGCTTGATCACCAGTAGGGGGCGATGTTTCTCTCTCTTTCTCTCTCTCTCTCTC